TCAGATTGGATTCAACGCCTGATTTGATGCAGAAGTATATTTCTTTAAGAAAACGATAAGATGATCAACAAATTTCTGAAAATGAAATATCAGAGCTCAGAGAACATTTGTCAACATTGATGATGAATTATAAGATGATCTTTGATGCCTTCAAATCAGACGATACAGTCGACAAATTGAACAAGCAAAACAAATTGAACAAATTGAATGAATTGAATGAAGAATTTGAGGATTCAATTGAAGGCATCAATGAGATGTCAGACAATACAGATGATCAGAATGCTGGCTCTGACTTTGCAAATAAAAAGACTCATATGAAATTAGAAATAGCTCAGCTTCAGTATGAGATTGAATGAATGAAAGCAGATAGAGATGAATCTTCTGTCAGTAATGAAAAGTTCAACATAGATTTGATGAATTATCTTCAATGAAAAGATAGAACATCTGCAATAATGAAGATTCTTGATGAATTCAGAGATCAGATAAAATCTATCAAGAAATCTATTATATTCATTGACTCTACAAATTACTCAATGCGGAAAGAAGAGATACTCCTCACAGCAAGACAATTTAAAACAGATTATTTTTAATGACAAGATTAGTTCTGATAAAAATGTCAGTAAAGATATGCAATGTTTTTTTGATCAGAATGAAATATCTGATTATACAATTACATGTGATCTGCGATCGCGCCGCAGATCAAATCTCACTTTATTATACTCAAGAAATCTCAATTATCTGCTTATTTTTTATAATCTATTATAGAAAATAATTTCACTGAGAGATCTGCTGTTGACAGAACTCATTTATTTTAAAAATTAATTGAAATGACATTGAAATCAAAGGGTTCTGATCACATGTTTTGTTTATCAAATGTTTGATCACAATTAGAACTGATTAATGCTGAAGATTTCATGTTTTTCAACAGACTTTTTACAAAGGTTAGCAAAGATTGATCCTCTTTTATAAAGAACTAAATGGATGCAATAGAGAAAGATAAGAACATCAGAATGTTCAAAGACAATTTCATGAGATTATATTGAAATATCTTTCTATAATTGCCAGCTGCTGATGAACCTTCTATTTTGAATGGGAAAACCTCTACAAATAACACTCAAGATCTCAATAACAAGAATAAAAAGAATAAGAAGAAGAAGAAAATCCCTGAAAATAAAGACAAAAATTCCATCAAATCAGAGAAGAAAAATAATAACACTGTCAAAACATATTATCATTGCTAAAAGATTGACCACATTCAAACAGATTGCTGGTTGAAATTTCCTGAAAAACACTCTACTAACCGCAGTGAAGATAAGGATAAAGATAAGAATGATACAGACTCTACACCGATTCATAATGGCATTAAACAAATATTTTTCATACAACAGAGAAAGTTTATTTTATTGATCAAACTGGCAAAGATATCTGAATTCTGAACTCTGAATCAGAAGCTCACACTATGCCTTGTAAAAATCTCATATTGATAGTGCAGCAAAAGATTAATGTCATATTAAAAATGATTGATGAATTGACAGCTTCTGTAACAGCTATAGAGAAAGTAAATATACTGATAGAAGAAGCAAATCTGTTGCTGCAGAATGGCCACTACATTTTCAAATTGAAGATTAATTTTATAAATTTTGAAAAGCTCATACATCAGAGTTATACATATAAACAATTAATTTATGAATTAATTTATGAAAACACTTATTCAATCTTGCTAACCTCTTCTGACAAGATGTTCACTTTCACTGTCAATTTGAGTAATAAGAACATCTACATTCTTGAAAAACAATAATTTTGATGTTTTTCTTGAGCAATGTCAGTAAAGAATCCTCTTTTCCCTCTGTGAGTTGTAGGATATTCACAGGTTCAAATTCATCATTACTCATTGTGAATTGAATCAAATCTCTATCTGTTGATTGAACATACAATATTGCAATGACATCAAAAGTTTGATCATCTCAGTGAATATTGCTAAATTAGCATCAGATTCATATTTAAAAATGAGACTTAAAAATGGCAGAGTTTTGTCATTTGGCAAGATCTGTGTACAGGCAAAAATGGCACATTCAACATTCACACTGATGATGAGAACTGTCAAATCTGTGATGAGATTCTTTATGAATCTTGCGGGTGGTGGTTATACACTATATGATCAAGCCAACCTTCCTACTCAGAGAGGATGTAAGAGATGGGCTATAAAAGTAATTATTACAAGAATAATGTGAAGTATGCACAAAAGATATTAAGAAGGTAGCAATCTTTATTGTTTAAAGTTAATCACTGATCTCCTCGGATCTACAGATATCATTGAGCATTATATAAACAATGTTGCCACTACATTACATTCATCACAATTGATTCTGACATGTTTTGTGTTCTTCTATCACCACATAGCTATTTCTAATATAGATATCTTCATTGCATCTATTACAATTATCTCCCTTCTTCAAAGGCCTGGTCTTCAGAGCTTCTCATTGTAACATGCGAAGTTCATAATATATATATTGTGTAGTTGATGTTGTATAAAATTCACAGAGTTGAATTGAATTAATTGTTTGAGTTAATTATGAAATGTTGCTGACTTGGGAAAATGTTGTTTCAGTTTCAGTGTTATCACAGTTCAATCATGATTTAGACACAACTTCTGAACCTCTTTTCTTTAACATTTACATCAAAATCATATTTTAATGAAAACCATCATCAACATCATCAACGATTTTTTATTTAAAAAGAATACATCAATTTATCAAACAAAGTATACTGTATTCTCTCATATGATTTTTTATTGCAAGATTTGAAGTTTTAATTGTGTGGTTGTGTTTTCTATTTTGAAGTAAGTTTTGTGTTGTTGCAATTTCTTTAATTAATATTGTAATATTGATTTTAATCATTAACATCTGTTCTTTTCTTACTGCTTCTTGCCTCTTCTCTCTTCTTAAAAGATTCTTGATATTAATTAATGTTGTAATAAAATGTCAGAATCAGCTGCTTCTGTTGCTGATTCAGAATCTATAAAAAATGATATACTGAATGCCATTAAAAGCATTTGCTTGAATTGTTTGAAGAGATTGTAAAACCCTTCAGTATACTCTTACTTTGTGAATGATAAGTGTATATACTGTCATATCTGTTATATATTGAATAGAAGTTGTGCTGCTGTAAATTTTTCAGATTGAATTTGCTGCAAGTATTAACAGATTATAGATGTGTGAGCATTTTCAAAAAATTGATCAATTTTTGATTGATGAATTTCAAGAAATGCTGCTCTTTAATGAAGTTTTGAATGAGAGATTTATCATATATCAAACTGCTGTTGCAAAGTTTATACTTGACATGCAGATCTATGAGAACATAGATGAAATTTTAGAATTTTATATAAACTTTGATAATTTATTATCACAGCAGAATATAGCATTTGATTATAATAGCATTTCAGAAAACACACTCTCACATTCTGTTATTACATCAACACCATCCCCACCGAGAATTTTGATGCATTACTTGAATTGTTTGATAACATTGATAAAGATGAGGAAGTACATTCAATTTAAAACAAATGAAATAACAAGTATGAAAAACAGTATCTATTAAAAGAAAAGAAAACATTCACAAATCAAACTTTTCAAAACAAGTCAAAATCAAAAATAATCGAAATGAAATAAATTTCAAAGCAAAAGTAACAAAATAAAAATAAAAACAAGAACAAAAATTAAAGCAAATACATAGAAACAAAAGAAAAAAGAAAAACAAAAATTGAATTCATTATCAGATCAAACTATTCAATTGAAATCTTGTAGCAATATTTGATTCTTTCAAATATTCAATCAAGAATTTATTTCCAGTTTTTGTATTGAACAAAAGTTTTAAATTTAACTGTGTCAATTCAAACTTCTCTCTCAATCTCAATCTTAACTCTATATGCTTTGACAAAGTAAAAGAAGATGCTCTGGGTTTTCATATAACTGACAATCTGAACATAAATCACTTAAATCATTTCTAATCTTTGTTAAATATGATTTAAAATAACCATGTCCAAGTTTTAGCTGCATTATTGTAGCAAAAGGTTTCTTTTTACATTTTATTAAACAAGCTTTCCATTTTGGCTTAGTTTCAACCCTGGAATAATGTACACTTTTATTTTGTAAAAACCCGATATCTTGCCATTTTTGCAAACATGATTCTCTTATTTTTCTCTTAATATAAGCCCATGTTACAATTCTTTGAAAGCAGACTTCCAATTCAGTTGCTTTTTTTGCAGCTTTATCAGCCATTTCATTGCCATATATACCCATGTGAGCAGGCACTCAGTGAAGATGAATAGAACAAATAATGAGATTTTTCTTTAAATATTTTGAAGACTTTTCAAAATTAGCTTTAGCGTTGACCGTCCACTGCTGATTTATCACTTTGAAGTCTTTTAAGCCCAGCTTGACTATCAGAGAATATTCAAATATGCTCAAATCTTTTCCTGTGTGTGAATTGATCTGGCTCAATGACATGCTGTATGATGTTGAATTACTGGAAGAAAAGGGAAAGATCTGCTCAAATCTGCAGGTTGACAATAAGAGTGCCATCAATCTTGCAAAGAGGGAGTTTTTAACCAGACAATCAAGGCATATAGAGATCTGCTACCATATCCTTTGAGAATTTGTTGAAAAGAATGAGATAAAGCTCCTCCACATTGGTTCTACTGCCAATAAAGCAGATGGATTTACGAAGCCTTTGGTGAAGCCTGCATTTGTTGATTTAATTGAGAAGTTAGGATTGGTGGAGATTAATTGATTTTTTTGCAGCCCAGGATGGGCGTAAGGGGAATACGGGGATGGATGGTCATTTGCGTGTTTCTTTTGATTTTTTACGGTTATGACCCGTACAGACACCTTCCCTAATTGGGTAATCAGGGTCCGAATCGTGTAATTAATTATTATTGCGGATTTGGATGATTTGGCCGGGCAGGCGTGGATCGGGTGTTTTGAACTCGGCGGCGCCGTAGCATGGGGGGTGTAAGTGGATATGAGCATGGCCCATGCTGACTAAATGGTCAGCACCCCGCGACTCTTTGGCTTGTTGACGATTGTTTCAACTTTCACCTGCTACGGATGATCTCGAGAACTTCTTGGAATATACTTTGCCGCAGCATGGGTAATTCTGTGGCTCAATGAATCGTCGGCAGAGTTGAGGTATCCCCTTGCTAACAAAGGCGTTTCACCGGTAAAAGCGGAAAAGGGCCTTCCAGGCCCCCTCCCTCTTCACTCGCCATTGATGGCGGATTCTTCTTCGCTCCGAAAGGATCGCCAGATAAAATACTTCCTCCGATGTCTGAAAACCTTTCTCCCTCATCAGTATACCTCCAATGACTCAAGTCGAATGACCCTGGCCTTTTTCACCGTCGCTGGTCTTGACCTGCTCGACGCCTTGGACGACAACATTTCCCCCGCGGAGCGCAACGGCTATATTGATTGGATATACCATTGCCAGGTGCCATCTGGTGGCTTCCGGGGATTCCCAGGGACGATATTTGGGGACTCTAAGAGAACCAGTGAAAATGAGTGTTGGGATCCCGCCAATGTTCCCGCCACGTTCTTTGCGCTCATGGCTTTGATTGTATTGGGTGACGACTTAACCCGTGTTAGACGACGAGAATGCTTATTGTGGTTAGCCGGAATGCAGCGGGCGGATGGAAGCTTTGGGGAGGTATTAGGATCTGAAGGACGGATTGAAGGAAGCAATGATTTACGGTTTTGCTGTTGCGCGGCTGGCGTACGGTATATATTACGGGGGAGGGATGCGAGCTATCTCCGGGATGTTGGCGATATCGACATTGGCCGTCTAATCTCTCACATTGAAGAGTGTCAGGTAATTTCGGTACCCCACTCCCATTCTCTCCTTACCATATGATCCAAACTATGATACGTGTGCGCCGGACTGACTAGAAACACAAAATTGCAAGTCATACGATGGAGGCTTTTCAGTGTCACCAATGACCGAATCGCACGGTACGCAACAGACTGCTCTGCTTGTATGATACTCAGCGACCCAGCTTACATTTTGTTCCAGCTGGTTTGACATACTGTGCCCTCGCGTCGCTTTCATTCCTTGGGTGCATCCCGGCTGCAGGTGTCTGTGGCGTGCCATTTCTCGCCCCTACAGCAACGAATTTCGAAGATTTGGTACGCTGGTTGGCATGGCGACAAACGGTAGACCTTGAAGAGGCCGAAGAAGGCGAAAGTGATGCCGAAGAAATGGCAGTCACTGACGTGCAAAGATCGATAGATGAAAAAATATCTGCACTCCCGGATATACCTTCTCTTTCACAGCGGCCTTGTGAGGTTCTCCATTGGGCAGGATTCAATGGCAGATCGAATAAAATAGCCGACACGTGTTACTCTTTCTGGGTGACAGGGACACTGGGTGTAAGTATTTATTCCCCGCCTCCCATACTTTATGTCCGGTCGGCTGATGATTGATATAGATTCTTGACAGGCTGAACGTTGTCGACGCAGAAGCGAATCGCCGCTATCTCCTTGAGAAAACACAGCATATCATCGGGGGGTTTGGGAAATGTGTCGATGACCCACCAGGTAAGTGTTGTTTATCCCTACTCCCCCCGACTGATCTCTGTTTTACTTAGCCCTGTACTTGCAAGTAATTGACCCTTCATATAGATCTCCTCCACTCCTACCTGGGACTAGCAAGCCTTGGTCTTTTCGGCGAAGCCGGAATTGCCAGGGTTGACCCAACATTCTGTACTAGCAAACGAGCTCGTCGACACCTCGAGTCTCTTCCTTGGTGGGCTGGCTCGGAATCCCATTGATAGAGGCATGCGGGAGAACAATGGCTTTCTTACAAGGAGCAAGCAAAAGTCTGTAAAAGCTCAGCAAAACCGGGGGTGGGGGAATTATCGAATAAAGTTTGTCATGTTGGGATTTCAAAAACACCCTGGTTAATGAGAACATTTGATGGGGGAGCGATTCACGAACTCCCGACCTCTTGACGGCATGTGAGGAGAGGATTCCAATTAATACAAACTATTTTATCCAGACGATAAGTAGCCAGCGCATTCGATTCTCCCTCAATGAAATAAGACCGGTAAACCGATGTCGATATGAAGAGATATATCAGGCAGACTCTGTATGTAGTTAGGCTGATTATTAAATTTATTGATTGGTGCTAGTCCAAGCAGACCGCGAATAATCTCTACATATCATCAACACTCCACAAACGACATTTTTGCCTCTCTATTTAGGCCTGAGTTTATAGTAAGATGAGAAAAATAGTAAAAGAGTGAGTTATAGAAGTGTATGACGAGTCTATTTGTTTGCTAACGGGTGGGACCTTATTTGCTTTTTGTTTTGCATTTTAGAGAATGGTTTACAGAGGGCCAGTATCTTAGCTAGCACCTTATGCAAGGAAATTGTTATCATGGTTAATTTTTTCAGCGGAACATGTATTATTATTTTTTTTTTTTTTTTTCCTTTTTCTTTTTTTCCGTCTCTTTTTTTGCTAATTGAAAAGGCGGATGAGACTCTATCAAAGGTTTAGTGTATAGCACTGGGCCATATTTGAGTTTGCTCAATATAGATAGATAGTTATTCAATTGCATGTATTGGTCATCGATGGAGCGAAAGGTTTGAATGTGAAAGTTGGATGGCTTACAGATATTTGTTACATTGAATATACAAATGGGATATAGGCATTCAAGAGAAAACTGGTGGGCCTGTTATATTATACGAGTAGGAATTTTTGTTTTGAAGAATTTCAAGTTTTTGATCATGAAAAAGAAAGTAGCTTTTGCTCCCGATAAACACACTGAGAGTAAGTAATGATAAGAAATAATTTGGAACGGGTGGAAAGTATACGGCAAATCACAACTTACATTCAAGTTTTCCCCAGTCGAAGATATCAGGGAACCTTTGTAGAAGCCTTACAAATAAGTTCCCCTGCAAGCCTGTCTTGTAAAACGGATGATCCTGTTAATGCAGGCCGCTTCCTCCATGGGCGTGTTAGGACCCTGAATATGGGCCCCCAAGTGACTTTTTATTTTATCGAGTCCTGACTGCTATAATGGCCCGCGTAGCATTTTCGTTTAGCAAATTCTGCCTTTCCTTCAAGTGAAGCATATGCAACCGGACTTCCAACTTCATAATCTCCAGGGTCCCTTGTTGTCAGAAGGCGTAAAACCTACGCCGTAGTAGATTTGAAGGATAATCCGATATCGTTGAAAGAGAGGACCAGTCGACCATTTGCTGATAAACTCAAAGAAATTTGACCATTTCTCCCAAGTCAATATTGAGGAAGTATAAAAATAGTTTTATCCGCTTCTTTTTGCAGACATATTGGGAATGAGTAGCAAAACCGCCTAGCAGATTTGTATAGCCCTGTCTAATTTGCTGCATGTTTCCCTAGGTTTTCATTATCGTTTCCCTGTCCCTGAGGAAGAAAGTTTCGAAGGATAAGTCAAACATGCTAGCAACGGTCACCAGGATTGGGGCTAAAATAAATAACCTGGCACTGGTGTCTTGGCGAAGTGGAGACATGAGTGCAGATATTTTGTCTCCCAATTCTTTGACTGTCATGTAATCCATTGACGTCGGGGTTTAGAGACCTGATTTCCGCAAACCATTGAATGGTGACATACTACGTACGGAAGGATGGTAAGTGGTGTTTCGAGTATTGCTCAAGGGCCCATGTATCAAACACAAACCAGACAACTCGAACCAAGTAGATCTCTTTTGTCCTTCCTTCTGTTCGACTTATATAAAGTGAACCGTGGTAGTGCCTCTTTTCAATTCCCAGATATCAAATCTGCATCTGGACAGGATGACCAGAACTGCAATCTTGTAGGAAGGTTTTACCACTACGCCAAAAAGGATCAATCCCTTAGGTAGCCACCTATTCCTCAATATCGAGAGAGAGAGATAGATATATATACAGATCTGTACATATATGCATGATACACAAGAGCTGCGTCGCCTCCAAACTCTGTGGCATGCATGTCCATGAGTGGCGGATTCTCATGGACATGGGTCGCCATTGGTGGAAACCAGTTGTTGATTCCTTGCCTCACTTGCCCCTATTCACCCAGTCAGTGCTAACTATAACGTCAAAAGCGCGTGGGTAATGGGCAAATGTACTCCAGATGGCCAAGGGGGTAAGTTAAGCATACTGCGTACACAGTGAGTGAGAACGTTAAACCCTGAGCGTAGAAACTCGTTGCCACAATTGCGTGTGAAGTCGCGAATTTGGTGGTTCTGATCGGAAAATGCCTGAGAACAAGTCCGCCAGTCCTTTCCAGCGATAGCCACCGCTGGTTCGGCCAATTATCGGGTGCACCGTCAATGGTATCCCATAGGCGTTGTCTCTGGTTGTCTTGAGTTGTACGCAGTAGTTCGTCGATGTCGTGGTCAAAAAGACACTTCAGGGATGATCGTCGTTCTTCCGCCAACTCTATCCACCCGCAGCTAATTTCGTGATTAATAAGTAGTTATCGGTCTCAAACAGCCACCACAGCCCTTCTATCCCAGACTTCTCTGCCCTCCGACAATCAGTGCCTTCCCTCGTCCAGAATCTCCCGAAGTGCTGACATCGATCGCATTCATTATATGGCTGGCCTGCGATGCTTTGACCATTCGCAAGCAAGGAGAAGAGCAACGCGAGGGGCAGCATCACATTAATCATCGACTCCCATCCTCACACATGCCGGGCCCCAAGTCTAAGCTCGAGTCCCAGCTGCAAAAGGATAAGGTTTGTTGGGCCTGGCTTCATTGTTGTTGTTCTGTGATTTGGCTTTGGCGGAAACTGTGTTTTGACTGACATTTTCTTCTTGATGTCGCATAGCTCGTCAACTCCTACCGCGAGTTATTACAGTAAATCAACCCCCTCTTCTTCCAGATGAGCCTTGTTTCCTGCATCATACCACTACATTGATATCTATGAATTTGTGTTGACCTTCTCCTCTTCATTCTTTAGAGAGTTCTCGTCAAAGGATTTGCGAAATGTCGGCAACTACAGTCTCGGGAAGTTGATAGGCAAAGGCTCCTTTGGAAAGGTTTATCTCGCGACACATAAACTTACCAATGGCTCCAAGGTACTTGCGGATACAATACCTTCTATCCCCCTGGATTTCTATCGTGGCACGTCAAATACTGATACAGTGGACCGTTATTTGCAGGTTGTCCTCAAGTCATCGAGCCGGGAAGATGCAAACCTTGCGCGCGAGATTCACCACCATCGTCAATTCCTCCATCCGCATATAGCTCGATTGTACGAAGTGATCGTGACCGAGAATCTTGTCTGGTTGGCGTTGGAATATTGCCCAGGCGATGAACTCTACAACTATCTTAGCCGCAATGGACCGATGCCGCTCGAGAAAGTCCAACGGATATTCGCCCAGCTCGTAGGGGCTGTTTGCTACGTCCACAGCAAATCTTGTGTGCATCGTGATCTGAAGTTAGAGAACATTTTGCTTGACAAGCACGAAAATGTCAAGTTATGCGATTTCGGTTTCACAAGGGAATATGAAGGAAAGGCCAGCTACCTACAAACATTCTGCGGGACAGTGTGCTACAGTGCGCCGGAAATGCTTAAGGGTGAAAAATATGCTGGGGAGAAAGTGGACGTTTGGAGTTTGGGAATCATTCTCTACGCTCTTATTGCCGGAGAGCTTCCCTTCGATGATGATGACGACCAGCTCACGAAAAAGCGGATTTTAGTAGAGGACCCCAAGTACAACGATCGGTTTCCGGAAGATGTAAGGTCACTGATCAGTCTGTTACTATCAAAACGCCCACTTCTCCGGCCTACCCTGTCCGAAGTCTTGAATCATCCGTTTTTGAGCGAGCATTCCCCACAGCAACAAGCAATCTTGAAATTAGCCCGACCTGCTCCATTCTCGACGCCCCTGGAAAGAACCACCCTAGAGAGGATGAGAAGTGCCGGGGTAAATATAGATCAGGTAATTGAAAGCGTGCTTGCGCAGCGTTGTGATGCGCTGGCAGGCTGGTGGGCTCTTCTAATAGAGAAGGAAGAAAGGAAGGAAAAAAGAAGGGAGCGGAAAAGGCGTGAGAGGGAGGCTGAAGCAAAAAATTTACGTCGATTGAGCGCAGCCAGTAGCCGCCTCGAACGGATATCAGCTGCACTTGTCGAGGTTGACGAGGAAGGGCACTCTACCAATCCACCAAGAAGCAGGGGCAGGAGAGATAGGAGAAGCATACCAAACCGTGCGTGTAGTTGACTCACCCCCGAATATGTAGTGGCGATTAATTCTAACATGATGCAGCTCAAATTATAGTTCCCGACCTTCCTAAGCTACCGGAAGCCTCCCTTGTCTCCTCCCCAGCCTCCTCCCTTCCTCCGCCGCCAATCGAGAAGGATTCCTCTGTCCGGCCAGCAAGCTCATCTCGCCATCGACCAGTACCTCCCCCGAAAGAAAATCGCAGATCACGTACGAGCACACTACATCTCAGCGCATCTCAGCCTGATTTATCGCACCCGCAGAGTATCTTGAGACGACATGGCGCACGTCGTCGACATCATCCTATAATCAGCCAACTCGCATCTCTTAAGCATTGGCTAATTGAATCAACGAAACGTGCCAAGTCGCCTCACTCGAAGGCATTTTCTCATGCAGCATCGCTTAAGTTTCTTACCGACAAATCCAGTCCACCTAAGAATAAGGATCCCGCAGCCAAACCAGCCCAAACAACCCCTACCAATGCGACGTTCAACCGGACACAGCAAACTCCAGTTCAGATGAAACGTTCCTCTACGGCAAGCAGCCTCACACCAAGCAATGCCTCTTATCCTGGGGCTGCTCGCTCGGGCTCCCTGTCCCACCAGCCACGACCACTTAGCATCACGAGTGCCACTCATAAACGTAATTCCTTGTCCCCTTCGCCTCTTACCCCCCGGAACTCATATCGTCGTTCTTCCACTGGTTTACGTGGGCGGAAATCCACTTCTTCGTCTGTCTCGTCCATTCGGAGTATTCATCATGTGCACTCGCACTCTAAAACCTCGTCCATCTCTTCAAATAGTACCAATACGGTATCGACACCCATTGCTACCGCCAGGCAAGCAATTGCCCGATCTCCGCACCCCTCAGTCAAAGTTCTACCTGCCACTCCAAGTACAAGCATCCCCTTCCCAAGTAGTGTCAGGCTTGTCCGAGGTGGTGGACCATCAGCTGTTGGCAGTTCTGCCCATCCTAAAGGGGCGGCATATAGTGCTTTTAACGAAGTTGCTCCCAGTTCCCTCCTTTCTTCTCCAGTATCGGGGCTTGTTTTCGCTCGCCGAAAAAGGTCAGCATTTAAGGGTCCGTCCCTTGCCGCTTCTACTATATCAGCCTCAAGCGGCCCCGGCACTCCAGGGTTACCCAAACCGAGGGACGGTGTAGTCGGTGCGAGCTCTGGGGCTCAAGCCGCTGGTTCTGGTGCAAGGAAAAGCCAAATTATTGAGGAAGAGGATGAAGTTCCGTTCGATTGCGATGAGGATATCGAAGAAGTGGATACATTTGAACCCGATGAGGAAGCAAGCGGGGTTTCCATGGATTGCAGAAGCTCCACCGATGATGCCCCTACGATTAATACTGATCCAGGACCAATTTCACCGTCCGACCTGGATGCAAGGGTATCCCTCGGGTTCGAACGAGCACGGAACACCATTGAACAGTCAAGCAACGAGCCACATCTCCTTCCCGCTGCAGACATCCTTGAGGCGGAATATCCTCCATTCCATCCAACAGAACAGCCAATGGGTTCTGAGACCACACATCCTCCCCGTTCTTCGTCACTAGCTGAGAAACCTGGGTCCTCTGGTCATGGTGGTGATGTGTTGCCATCTGTAATACTTAACGAGGCGATTCCCACTGCGGACAGGCCACCTACAAACCATTCCACTTCTGCGGAACCCAAACTCGCTGTTGGAGAGGAATGACTCTCATCGTGCCTGGCATACCTGCGATTTTCGAGATATCGGAGGTTGCAGCTGCTTGGCCTAAAAAGAACCATGCGCCGTGAGAAGTGATACGGAGGGGACCGATCTCCTATCTCTCTAAAGAGAGTCTTTCGACTGAGTTATTTCGGCGATATTACATGAAGGAGTATCCGCAACGCAGCTTCCGTTTGCATTATTTCATTTTACGTCGTCTCAAGAGGGTTTACGATTTTTAGCTGTTGTAACCCTCCCTTCATCCCCCTAAATGCCCTTCCATCGCACCCCTATCTTGCCTACCTAAGACACATTTACACACCCATTTTCTTTAGACATTTAGTCAAGTTATTATCCCCCTTCCTCCTATTTCGCTTGAGGTTACATTTTTGTGATTTTATCCCGCCACCATTTTACATTTTCCCTGGTAGACTGTTGTCCTTATTCCTTTATTTCCTTATAAACTGCGCCCATTACTTAGGCCCGGTCTGTTTTGCACATTCTTCATTCGGCCACGTTTTATTTCTTCCCCATTCATATTATATTTTGAATTGTTCATTTGGAATATTTCTTATTTACCTCGCCATTCTTGTTTTATATACCTCTCTCTTCCTCATTTTTAATTTTCATATCCTCCCCAAACCTCGTTTCTGCTTTATAAATTTTGCGACTTCATTACATATTCCCAGCTTCTCTATACCTCTTTTCGTTTTGTCTCATCACCCCTTGTCATTAGATCACCGATTCCCTCTATTTTCGCCATTGAATTTACATTTTTCACAGTGTTTACGAAGCTCTGCAACTTGGTATCCTGTGTTGTTTTTTTTTTCTTTTTTTTTGGGCTTTTGACAAGTATCTTGACCTCTCGCTTAGATTGGGAAAGAAGTTGCTTTCTGCAATATTCACAATTTTGGTGCTTTATCTAAAGTTCGGAAAGAGCGGAAGGGAGGTCAATACCCATTGTACAACATATACATATAATAGCATCGGTCTCTCCCTCTATCTATGTCTTGGGAACACTGCTGGGTCTTGCGAAATACCAGCAAATTCCATGAATATAACTGATGGCGGGAAATCAGAATTCTGTTCGTTTCTTTTCCTCTTAGCCCCTTCAACCATCCGGTTCTCCGCTAAGCTGAGTGCAGACAACAGTTATATTGGGAGCAGCCGCAAATTTAAAACCACATGTTTTTCAGGGATATAAATTCTGGAACTGGGTCTGTCAGGCATAATAGCAATTTGGCTGGACACCAAGTTCTCAACCCGAAATATTTCTCAATGCTGCGGAAAACTCAACTGCTCCCTCGCTTCATAACTAGAGTGGTAAATGTTCCATCGTTTCATCGTCAAACCACCAATTCATAGGATCTGCGCTATCGAAATTGAACTGGCCAATCGGCATCTGATACCTTGTTAATGACAGTTTAGGTTCATGACACTAGCGGCCCGCTTACCATAATATCCCAGTCTTCCATACCTTTGAGCGTGTCAATCCCCGTTTGGCTAAGCAAATCTACTCTCGCTCCAGTCTGGCCCTCAGCAGCCCTTTCCTCCAGGACTCGCAAACAGTTTTCCTGGCCGTTTTCTACTGCCCTGATTAATGATGCTGGAAGCTCGTCTTTTCCTACGCCTCGTATGAGTCCCTCAAGCCGCGCATCTACCAAACACATGAAGAGATGTCCCTTGATGTTGGTCTCTCCGGCCTCAACACACCGGAAGGACCAATTCACAGCATTATTTACTATTGATAGTAGATCAGGACGTAAGGGTGCAGGACTTAAGCTGTTCTCTTCTTGGAGCTGGAATATGAGTTCAGCTGCTACCATAAAGCAGGCCTGCAAAGCACTCACGCGAAAGAATTGAGATCCACAGATTGCCAGTCGCTCTAGATCGTCCCCATTTAGTGGAGAGATTTCATCACTGTGAGAAGATGGAAGCAGAACAGCGCGCCAGATTTTCAACGAAGCGTCCACTACTACATTCCGAGAGAACGCGTAGGCTGTCTCGCGTAAAGGCGGGACGAAGAAAGGGATGTGAAGAGCCAAGAAATAGCGATGCATGATGAAGTCTACCACCTGGATTTGGAATCGAGAGGGGGAGGACCCTGCGGCTGAGTCAAGACCTTGAAGTGTACGACACAGCTCTTTATATGATTCCCTCAATGCGCCATCGAGCTGAAGCGTTTCCTCGTATGAACTAGCGGATTGAAAATTATTCAAAAATTCGGTAACCGCAAGGCGAATTGGAAATGTTTTACGGAGGGCGATGGCAACAGACATTTGGGTGAAGGTATCATCTGATGCTAGAAGCGGATTCCCAAGCATCAATTGATTGTCATTAAAGTTGCGAGGTGGTTCTGTATCAAAGCTTCCCAGTGAAATGAGAGGGGCCGCGCCGGAGTCTAGGCTCGATTGAAGAGCTATTTCTAAGATGGTGTTCCACAGTCTCCGGCGCATCTCGATAGAAAAAACTGTCCCTTCCGGCAAACATGCGGCATCCCGATGCAACCCAATATACATTGCGTTTCGAATGAGAGAGCCTGCTGAAATCCAGATCATACTTGCACCAACGCTTGCCGTTTGCCGAGCGATAAGCAGCAGGATATTAGTCTGCAGTACTTGGAGGCTTAGTCTTGCTTTAAATTCTGGTTCTGCAAGCCACGTTTGGGCCTCATGGACCCATCTAATGGCTGAAGCGCGCAGGGAGAATTTTTCGTCATATGTGGTAGCCCCGATGGCGAGTACCAGCTTAAGTTGGACGAGGAACGCTGTGTCCGGAGTTTTGTCGTTTAGCCATACCTCGTCATAATCCTTTTTGAACGTGGGGATATGGAGGATTCGATATATCGTCTCTGTGGTTCGCAGATAGCAGTCCAGGAGCTTGTCGGCGAGGGCTTTTGGTGGTAAATCGGATGTTGGTGGTACTGGCCACGGAGGTGCCAACTGCGCCTTTATGATCTTTGCTAGGAGTTTACACCTCTGTAGGCCGGAAGCGAGTCTGGATCTATTCTGTATATGTGGTTCGATTATCTCGAGAAGGCCTTGAAGGAGCTATTCCTGTACTTTAGAAAAAATTTCTTCTCACTTCGCTTCCCTATCGCTACTGGGTAGAGTCAACTGACCTGTACCATCCCATTAGCCCAATGACTCTGTCCAAATAGGCGACTTTTATGAAAGATACCGCGATTGATAGTTGGTGTTCCTCCCGGTGCATGGCTTTCGCGACGAACAGAGAATGTTCCTGCGAGGGATGACGATGTTGTTTCTATGTTTAAAGCTGGAGTTGAGGTGGAATTCGGAGATGCCGCAGCCTTCGCAGCTGCTTGGGATAAATGCTCTTCAAGTAATCTAACCCTGTTCTTCAAGTGCTCCACTTCATGGGATGGCTGAGAAGCAGCAGTCAAGGGGGTTGCTGAGCTTGCCACTATCGACCCTACCACTCGACTTACTGTCGTCGAGTCACTTCCAACACTAGGAGACTCGGAAGCAGGCAATACATGGACTTGCTTCCGTGATCCTTGAGCCGGTGCAAGATTGCGTAATGGAGTTCCGAGTGGCTCGTCGCCATAAACACAGTGACCGCTCTTGGAACGCACACAGTTTCCACAGGGAGTTTGCCTATTACATCGAATTTTACGCCGTCTGCAGAGAGCGCAAGAACTGTATGATGTTTGTTATTAAAGAGCTACACAAATCCCGGTCTTCTATAATACATACACAGCAGGCCTTCGCTTCTTCCGTTCTTGGCCGGCCATCCTTGGTTCGCTGTCGGGTTCGCTGTCGGGTTCGCTATCGGGTTCGCTGTCGGGTTCGCTATCGGGTTCGCTATCGGGTTCGCTATCGGGTTCGCTGTCGGGTTCGCTATCGGGTTCGCTGTCGGGTTCGCTATCGGGTTCGCTATCGGGTTCGCTATCGGGTTTGCTGTCTGCTCCTTGTCGCTCTACGTTCCAGTTTCTCAAAGATTTGTCACCAGATGCCCCTGGAGAGAATTTCCCGATATTGCAATTCCGATGTACTCCTCCTATTTGCAAAACCAATGAATCAAAATATGTGATCTTATAAGCTCCGATCAGCTCTGGGCCGAAATCGGCTTTTGCGCTTTTGGTCCGTATGCTTCGCCATTTACCGAGCTTCCATGGAATATCATTGGATAACATGCCGATTCCGACTTCCCCTGACACGGAAGCCCTAACATCCGAACAGCTGGACACCATATCTACAATTGATACCAGCACATTATTCTGGGTATATAAGGCTTTCCATCGTTTTATTTGATTTCGTGATGGATTGTCTGTTACCAGATTGCAGCACGTCACCTTTGCCAAACTTCGGCAGCAGTCCACCGCCTATAGCTTGCGTCAGTTAGCTACCTCGCCCTGAGTTAAAATGAGGGACGCTGAATCAGAGACCGTGGTTTCAAACAATGAAGATGAAATGTCCCCAATACCGGCAATCAAAGCTGATGGTGAACAGACTCCCGAGAGCTTTGGAGCAACACCAGATGGTGGAATCCGAGCGTGGCTCGTAGTCGCAGGGGCATTTTTCATCCTCTGTTCCACCCTGGGTTATGCGAACTCCTTTGGCGTTTTTCAAGAATACTATTTGGCTCACCAGCTCCACGATCGGCCTCCGGATGATATCGCTTGGATTGGATCGCTAGCAACTTTTCTCCAGCTTTCGGCAGGGGCAATTTCAGGACCATTGTTCGATCGGTATGGCAGCTGGGTATGTCTCCCTCAAGTCCCTGTACCCAAATCGGAAATCTGACATGCGAGTAGATCCTCCGTCCAGCCGCTATCCTCTACATTTTTTCTGTTATTATGGTCAGCATATGCCGGGAGTATTGGCATTTCATGCTGACGCAAGGGGTCGTCATAGGGACGCTCATGGCGCTCTTCTTGGTCCCAGCAATCGCTGCTGTATCTCAGTATTTTGATAAGCGTCGAGCAACCGCTTTGGGAATCACTGTTTCTGGGTCATCAGTGGGCGGCGTTATATTTCCTATTGCGCTCTCAAAGATGCTAAACGACTCTTCTCTTGGCTTCGGATGGTCCATTCGGATAATGGGGTTTGCCGTGCTGCCTTGTTTAGTCTTCTCATGCATTACAGTCAGGAGCCGTCTTCCGCCGAGAACAACCGACTTCTTCGTTAAAGCGGCCTTTAAAGACGTCAAGTATGTCCTTCTCATTATAGGCGCGTCTTTCGTGTTTATCGGTTTCTCCACACCAATTTGGTTTCTACCCACCTATGCCGTTAGTAGGGGTATGGACACAACCCTCGCCTCCTATATGTTAGCAATTATCAATGGCGCATCCGCTCTGGGACGGATCATACCCGGTGTGTTGGCGGACAAATTCGGCCGAATAAATATACTCGGGATCGGTTCGATCGTCACTGGCGTCATCGTGTCCTGTATGAACGAGACGGAAAGTACTGCCGCATTGGTACTATTTTCGGTTGCGTTTGGGTTCTCTTCGGGCACCATAATGTCTGGAATTGCCGCAGCCTTCAGTGTCTGTGCTAAAGACCACCGGGACATTGGCACCTATTTAGGAATGGGAATGGCGATTAGTTCTGTCGCGATATTGATTGGCCCTCCAGTTAACGGGGCACTGGTTGCCAAGTACCATGGATTTTTTGAAGCATGCATTTTCAGCGGTATCATGTGCTTAGTTGGTGGCTTCATTGTGTTTGGGAGCAAGATGACAACCTCTCAGGGTCTTTTTGGGAAAGCATAGTGCTAGGGTATTTTCACACTCCCACTCCTCTACTCCTGGACTACCTTTCCTAATTAATCTCATTTGTATTATATTTTCATCCATTTCTGCTGCTGATACAAATCTCGCTTTAATTATCTACTTTCAAAGCCCACTGGGCACAAAATACAGTATGTATATATTTTGGTACAACGGTTCCAACTCTCTATTATGGCAAGGTAACTAGATCAAGTTCCACATCTTACCATGTGCATTTGGAAATCTAGCACTTCTACTACCATAACAATATTGGAAACCTGCAGAATTGGGGTCAAATAGACTTAGGTACGGGACTGCATACCAAAAATAGAATAACTCATGGTCCCGAAAATTGGAATTGAAACTCGCAGTCCCGACTTGTCAATTGTGTGTATTCCGCCTTTGACGACTCGACAGATTCCTTCAGAGAAGTGGGAAGATCATCTTGTATCGCCATTTTTGCGTAGCGTAAGGTCTCGTAGCGTATAGAATAAAGATGTTAGTCTATAAAGTTGACTTGGCTTTGAGGCAAATAGGGCAAATGGGAAATTTTGTAGATAGAAAGGTAATTCTAACTGTCGCGAGACGAATTATTTATCTGTTTGATGGCGATTGGAGCATCTGTATCCGGGTCGTCATGGCAGAGGCAAATACATACATTCATCAACTCCACATGATCCAAAATCAACTGTAGTCATTTAGATACCTGTCCCTCCTCTCATTGGCCGTATTTAACACATTGCAAATATTGGCTAGCACGGAGTAAAGTCGCACGGTATATTCGCAACGAGAGGAATAAATGGCTCACTCATAGTTACTGATACAATTCATCCCCTAACTCCAGAGGAAACGGCAAGCTCGGTCCTCATTGGTTATATTAAGTGCAGAAAATCAGGGGCAGGCTGGATACGATAATATATAATATCCAACACGATAGCAATTAGAATGAACGTAGATTGATTTTTTATCAGCAATAGAATGCAGTTTGCAGGATGGAATTCATCCCCGATGTAACTAACTATTGCGGGGAAAGAGAGCTCAAATGAAGACCAGGGATTGATTCATTCGCAGATGTTCTTTGGCCTGCTGGCAGACAGTTCAGCGGCAAGAAGAGGCCAGCCAGAGGCGGTGATTAGGAAAAGGGATTCGATACCTAATAGCTTTTGTTAATACATTGTTGTGATGATTGGTAACTAGCGATGGAACCGGAATTATTACCGAACCCAAAGGATTTCCTCCTCTCCTCCTCCTCCTCCTCCCTCCTCCGCCTCTCCTCTTAATCTATTCAAGGAGAATATTTTGCAGCAGGCTCAGGTTAGTGTACTCTAAGATATGTTACGTCGCGCACATTTGTCGAATACAGTTCGCGCTGGGTAATATCGGAAATTTTTAACCACGGATATTGCGACTGCAGGCGTCATAGGAGGAAACTTTCCACTAGCAAATATTAGTATCCTGCTCGATCCTTTTCATAGTTCCTCGCAGTTGAGTTTAACTCTCTCCAACGCCTGGAAGGTTAGCGTATAATTCTGGATCTATAACTATCATATCCAGTTAGTGTAGCCGTGGCTTAGGGTTTAGGGCTTAACCTTAAAATGACATCATTCAGATCTAGATATTATTGACCCTGTCCCATATCATTATATATATCCGTCCCATCTCTATTCACAAATTTTGCGAATTTCGTTTGCTGTATAGCTCATACATCATGTGGATACCGGACGAGAGTCCTCCTCCATATGAGGACTTATATCCCCGGGTTAAAAGACGCACCATCTGGAAAGCGAGGATCAAAAATCTCCTACTAAGGTATATTAGCGCTATTTTCTATCTGAAGCTTTCTTTTCCTATCCTCCTTCATTTCTTCATCCCCCATTGCCTTGCAGAATATCACAGAAGAGCATTAGCTGACAGTTCGATTATAGAAATTTTCTCGATACGGTCAAGGGAGCTAGGCGGGAGAGAGAATGGGAAGAGGCAATATTAGACAGTAAGATACTTGCCATCATGAGTTCCCATGAAATATTTGAATCAGGTCTAATCCGAAGCAACTACTGTACTAGTCAAAGCAAGACGCATAAAAGAGTGGTGGATGGATCAGACCGACAAGGAAATTGCAAAGGAGCCTGAAAATGAACTTCTCATATTGTCAAAATAAACATGGAAAACCTTGGTTTCGTGAAATCAATACCAGCAGCACTGTGGCATGCGAGCTTTTGTATGAACCTGTAAGTATATAAGTATATGCAATGTTCGGTGATTCAGAAGGAATGATGCGAAGCCAGTGCTAACAACGAGCTTTATTAGCGCGATTGGTTATATAATTATTGCTGAGTGGATTCGTGATGAACTTCCCTCATTTTAATCTCGTCCTTCAACATCAGAAGGATTGGGAAGGGGGAGGGGGGAAGGATTCATCGTATGTGCCTAATAGAGACGAATTGGCAAACTAAGGAAATGCCTCCTCATTCGTCTTGGGTAGATCGATGATCGATAACATGCGGACTTGCCTTGAGGGTTAGGGATTTCTAGCCAACGCTATCCCGGCAAATATGGAAGTAAATAACAAGAACCCGAATTTTAGGTTTCTAAGCGATAGAGGCTGTAGGTAATGCTATGTAGCTGTCTTGAGAATACGAGTGGGACTGCTTGTTATATATTGGAAAAATTTCTCCTAAATCTATAATCTAGGTATTTGGTTATATGCGCATATGCCGTAAGAAGGGGGCGCATCTTTTGTTAGCAAGACCTAAATTGAAACCCTAGAGAAGACCTAGGCGAAACGCGATTATGCATTAAAGGCTTTGCTTTTTCAAATATAAAACGGATGCTACGCTGAAACAAAGGAATAAAAGGCAAAAAAAAGATGATGAGAGGAAAAAAATACTACTTAAGCGTTGGGGTATCAAAAGCAATGTTTCGAAGACACGTTCATGCTCGTCTTTCATATCCAGCTGGAACGGAATAGCATGAGAAATGATAGGTGTGATGTATGGGGAATTCGAGTTCTGTAATGGCTAGTTTTTTGATGGGCAGATAGTAAAGGATCAAACGTAACCCACTTTGCTAAGAAGCCCTGATAAAAAAAAAAAATCGTAATTTTACCATTTGTTGCTTACGCCAGAAGCGCAACAGAATCCCCAATACGATCCAGTTTCGAGTTAAACAGCTGACACATCGTATAGTCTTCGGAAAATATAACATAGAATACGCGGTTATAGCCTAAATCGGGTGGGTTAGAAAATTGAACTATTTCAATACGCAACAAAGAAGAAGAAGAAGAAGAATAATAATAATAGTAAATAAAAAAAAAAAAATAAAAAAAAAATAGAAAGAGCCTGAAGGTGGATTCTTACTTGGCTTTTTGGGTGGCTGCGTCCTCCGGAAGTCTAGAATGATGTACTCTTGTATCTCTTGGGCCTGGAGCCAAGGAAAGTATCTACCCCCGGTTTGGAACCTGGCGACATGTTCATCGATATTGTCCCCATCGCGTAGTATTTCGATCGCCCAACGAGTCCCCCTGACCTGAAAATCCACACGCCCTCCCTTCGCTGTCCCTGTCCATTCAGAAGAAAGATATAATCTTTTCCCGAGGAGCTCATAGAAAGCGCGGTAGAATTCATTCTGGAAAGTAGCTTCGAGGGGACGGGTAGCTGGTGTAAAAGCTGAGCCATCTACCCTTAATCCAGCGGGCTTGAATTCCCGGATAGCGGCGAAACTCAAATCCTCAATAGTGGGGAAAAGATGAAAGGGGAAAGGTGGAGTGTCAATGGAGAGGAGATGTTCAATATATCTATATGTCATACATGGGTCACTAAAATTACATTTGCAATGGGTGCGGATTTTTTTTCACCTTCGATGAATACCGGTCGAGAATATGTAGATTGGCTTGTTTTCTTCCAAGAGCTCAGCTTGAAGCCATCCTTTGCGATAACACGTATTAAGCGCAGGATTCGAATTGGGGTCATCAGTTGACACTAAATCCACAACGATTTCACGAAGGAATTGGGAAACAGATGGGTTTGTTTGGAGCATATATTTTGCTGGTAGTCCCCGACAGAAGCCGTGCATTTTGCTGTTCTCAAGACAGTTGAGAAAAGACGCATCATCCGAGAGAAATTCCCGGGCAGCTTCAAGAGTGATCTCAGTGGATTGTTTGCGGTATTCGCGGAAAGCCTAATACTGTTGATCAGTGACATGTACATAACCCGAGCAGGAGTAGGTATACATACATCAGCACAAGCCAATCCATCAAGGAGTGACCTGACAGCTGACGGATGCCCACAAGTAATTTCCCAGATGAAAATTTTTAGGTTTTCGCAGAGCAAGAACTGCTGACCGTCCTGTCCGTAGTATTTGCACACAGCACGGACTACATTGTGGTACTCCTCAAGTGAAAAGTACAATCCGACGTCAGGATTAATAGGGGTACGCAGAAGTGATATTCGTTGGGATGGGAGAAGTAGAATGGGGGTAGGCGTTTGCTCGTCAAGTGGACGGCCAGACGGCGAACCGTAAGATGAGAACATGGCGACGCAAGGGCCAAGACCGGGTGAAATGAACTTTATGAAGTCATTCCAGAAAGATGTATATGGATATGAGCCTTGCGCCTCATCGATAATAAGGAGAACGCGCTTTTCCAGCCAATCATCCAGATCAAGAGGCCTCACAGTTATGGCGTTCAATAGCTTGTAGTACATGGCGTTTGTAGGCAAATTTTGGGGGAAGTCCATCGGCCAGCTTAGGCTAATAACCGGCATTTCTGATATTTTCGCAACATGGCGGCGGAGGAGGCGAGCCAAATTAGATTTACCGCTGGCTGGAGTACCACGAATATGAACGACTCCAGTCTCCTTCACCCGTTTCCACAAGGCTCTTACCGTTACATCGCGAGATATCCGAGGAGACTCGTCTTCAAGCGAATTTATGTCGGGGGGTCCGGGGTTGTTTAATTGAGCGTGATCACTGTCTAGATCCCTCTCCGGTACAGTCTGTAGTTGGATATTTTGTTGAAATGTTTGGGGAGCCGTTGCCTTTTGTGGAGGAACAATGAAGTCAAAGTCCTCATGGTTCGACAAAGCATGAGCGCATAGCCGGCATTGAACACTAGTTATCAGTCGGAAAAGGAACTTCGAAAATGCCATTGGAACAAGGGCAGGGAATGTTCAGCTGCCCGGATACCCAGGTCACGGTGCATTTACCGGCGCCCATGGTCCGGCGGAAGTCATCTGTCGAAGTCGCGATATCTTGACCTTGCTTCGCCTGATGCTCTGGGACACGGGAAAGACGTTGCAGAGCTCGCTGGAGCCAGGAGAATACGGGCAGCCCCATATTATATTCGTAGAGGACCGAGAAGACGACCAATCGCTGAAGGTCAATCGAACATATAACGCATAATCGGCTCCGAGATGTGTTCTGTGCTGTTTGGAGGAAGAACCCAAATACAGAGATGCCCAGTTGTGTATATAGTAAGTAGTTCAAGCACCCACGGCGTGAGTTTTCCGCAAACAAGCCAGGATCTTTGCAGGCGGCTAAATCAAATCGCGGGTAGTTCGAAATTCAACGTTGGGAATATCCTTGTTTCAGGCATGAACCCTTCTTTGATCGGCTCAGCCCCAAGCCTCGGGTCGAAATCATAACTAAATATCAGAGCAAATGGCAAATACAGATTACGGTCTGATGTTGTGCGACAGTTGACCTCACATTATTGCATCTTGGCCAATAAAGCCCCCGGCTACCAAATCCTTTTCCATATGCATGCGTTTTATGTTCGTCTTGCCTTGGGTTAACTTGTATTTCACTGCTTGGCCACTACAGAAAGTGACGACAGGACTCAGAGAATGCAACATGTTGATGTGCAGATCCACGATGCAATGACAATGACTGCTTTTGAAAGGTGCCAGGGCGACAACAGTCAATACATCCTGTTTGGATAAGGACTCAGATGGGCTATTTGAGAGCCCAGGCGTATGGACGAACCGACCGAGACACTCGCGCCCTGGCCAATTGCCTGGACAAAGCTAACGAATTTGAAAAGTGGAACATTCTGAGCGAACGGGAGGGGCGGGGCCAGCGTATGCTGGTGCTGGAGCCGTGGGGACAACAAGCACGAAGAAGTTTCCGATGGATCCATTCCAGAAGAATGAATAATTAGGTTTCTGTGGATATTCCAAATTGAAGCTATTCGATTGCACGGTGGAAACTCTTCCCTAAGATGAGCCAATGTTCTCTGGTAACCACCAAACTACTCTCTTGAAGGATACTAGTAGTTAGTTACCCAGCGTGAGTTCGACGGAGTTGATTGCATGATACTTCAGCCAGGTGTCAAACTGACCGAGGCCAGAAATTATTTCAATGCTAGTACAAATTCTATTCTGATCTATTTTATACTATGGGGTAAACTCTCTGTAACGCTCGTCGCCTCAACGGCTGCTGTTGCTCGTTAGGCGACACATCAGGGTCAAGGCCAACTAAACAATTGGCCGTTTCCTCGCTGTGGGTAGTCTATCGCTACACCAAAGGATCAAACCTTAAGGTGGGAGAACCCATCTTAAGATACTATATTTGCAAGTTTTATCCATTTCACACTCGCACATACCTGCACCATTGATCTGGTTCCCCTGGTTCTGTCACGGCACGTCCCATCTCCGGCACCTCAGCAGCGCGGGTTTGCGAATGCGCATCAAGTATCTTCCTGAAGTGGGATTATGGGTTGCATGAGGCGTCCCGGTTCGCGAGTCGCCTGTTTAAGCGAGTTCTGTACTATGTGCTCCGATTCGAAAAGGTTCCTCCGCATCATGGCGGGTATGCTGATGGGATTTGAGGATCAGTCGCGCGGAGATATTGGTTGGGCTGAGAAGACTGCGCAGACTGCGATTGAGCAAGGAAATCCCGAGACAGCCCGAAGTCTGCTCATGTATTCGCCGTCGGTGAAATACAGGTGTTGGCCGAACTCGGGGGGGATGTGATTGATCCCGAGTCACCGTGGGACAAACGGTGCAGCCACTGAGGTGTATCGGGGAATCCAGGCGCGCGACAGATCAGGGTGGACGCCCTTCCTTTAAGATCACGACTTGTTCATACCCGGCCTGATCATCTGCACTGCACGGGTCGTGAACACTCTCACGTAGATCCTCTTCGCAGACCGGGATCCCGTAGGTAGCGTAGCCGTACTCCCTGGTAAGTTTTCCGATAGCTTCAACATCCTCCCAGGATGCGCTGGTGCGCTCCATCACCACGCGTGCCAATTCGCTGTACTGCACGCCCTGTTGATCAGCTCGCCAGGTAAATATCGATGCATCCCCGGCGACGCTGGATGCGTAGTCTCACGCGGGGAAGAAATGTAACCAGTAGCTGGACACCTCCCCCGTTCCGACGATTGAAACCCCTCATCGTAATGAGGTCCTTGCAGACGTAGAGAGCATAGCTGGCTGTGATAGGGATGGCAAGGCAAGCTAAGGGCAGCAAGTTCCTTGATAAGGGGCATTGCAATTATCATGACGACTAGCAATGTGGCTTCCTACGCCAGGAAAACGGTGGCAAAGCTCATCCGAAAATTTTATATTTTGTGAATTTCACAGCTTGACTTGGATATCAAGATCGGTGCATAACCCAGGTTCTGCTATTGGGCTGGTGACTTCATGACAAACGATTGGGCACCCTCCATAGCTACTGGTATGGAGAAATCAGTTCTCCGTAGCCAGGTGTTGGAGCCGTAGACTTTCGATTCGTGGTGTGGGCATCGGTTCGGCGACGGAAACCAGATATAGATGTCCGCTTGAGCATATTGGGCCCAATAAGGCTCTAGATGTTCGATATCGCATCTCAGAAATTGTCTCCCAGTCAAACTTATAGGGTAACTTCGTTTCCGCAAGTTATGAGGCGAGTTGAGTCCACTTGAAAAAGCCGAACGAAAGAATTTAGTGAGAACGATCGTTATTATATAACAAAATCTGCTAATTCGCCAGTAGTAACTAACGGAACTGCAAATCGGAAGCGAAAAAACGACTCCATCTTAAATGGGAGATTTTTTGGTTCTTTTGAATCGAAATAACCTATAAACAGTAAAAAAGCATATATGGCGACATGCTCACCGATTATCAAAGCACAGTATTCGAGAGGAATCGCCTACTTCCCCAGTCTAATACTCACCAGATCCTTCTTCTGTCTTCCATCAGCATCAAAATTGTCATCATCCAGCCACTTTTCAAGAGCCCCCTTAACCCCTCCCTTCCACTCCTCATCAACAATCGAAAACCACGCCGAGTCACGGTTGCGCCCTTTCACAATCATATGCTTCCTGAAAACCCCCTCAAAGAGAAACCCTAGCCGCGTCGCGGCACGTTTTGACGGGACGTTCAAGTCATTGCACTTCCACTCGCATCTGCGGAAATGCAACTCGTCAAACACAAATGCAAGAATGAGGTAGAAAACCTCCGTCGCAGCAGTGGTCCGCTGCAACATGCGGGAGAAGGTAACAAAGCCGATCTCTACGGCGCGATTCTTCACATCGATGCGAAACAGGCTCAGAAAGCCAACTGCCTTGCCGCTGTAGGCGTCCTGGAGGCCGGTGCGGTCCATGACGCTGAAGAAGAGCCGGTCCTCAGATGTGGCGGCGTAGTGGATGAAATTGTCGAAGTCGGCCTTCGACGTGAAGGGCCCATCCGGCATGTAATCCCACAGTGTCGCATTGTCTGCGCCGCCCAGGCAGGAGAAGAGGGAGTCAGAATGTGCCGCGGTGAGCGGTTCCAGGGTGATTGTTCTCCCGTGCAAAGGTTTGCGGGTGGGTGGGATGGCAGGTTTGTTTGGAACTATGGGGCCGAGTTGAGGTTCCGCCATGATTTCTTTATTAATGAATGGCGTGTAGAATTGCTGTATGAGCAAGTTCAATAATCTATCTAGGGTTAGGTCGGGCCAACTTCGCGGGCAGCGATGCTCAAACGATAAATGGGACCACAAAGATGTTCATGGGTCTATATTATCTACTGTTCCAACAGGTCTTGGTTATTGGATAAGAAACCTGGCTCAGGAGTTCGTCGGAGAATCGGTCTAATGAAATGGCATGAGGGTATCTTGCTGGTGCCGGCGGGTGGGGAATACATTGGCACATATAATGACACTAGACCCGGCAAGTTATTTTACTTGAGATGATATCAAAGAAGGTCGGTTGGTTTGGCCAAACCATCTCAAAAACCAGAACTCGAAATGCAATGAAAACAACCTGGTCACTGTCTTAAGCCAGGCTAAAAACAATATATATAATTTCCCCTTAACAGCTTCTTATTACATTATGATAGACGCAGAGGGTAGCGTATAATCCATCCTGCAGACCTGCAATCATTCAGCCCAACTTACGTATATTTTTTGGCGGAGGAAAAGTAATAAAGCGAATATTAACGCCGCTAACTCCAGCATAGCCCATGGTGTAAAAAAAAAATCGAGTATGACAAGCATCTGTAATCCATCGACTTTGTTTTAATCCCCCTTCACATCCATACTATACCATACTATGATCTGAATGAAGAGCCAGTGTGAACCTGTGATTAGGCACTTTAGAGTTGGTAGACATGCCACGCGCACTCATTCTCCCGTTCCGTTTTCTCTGCTCTCATGTGAATTAAGTATCAAATAAAACAGCCCATATACAAGCGATAACTGAAGTGTCTCGCCGTGAGTTTAAAGCTTTTTTGCAAATCTCATTTTCCAATGCACTCAGCTGCCAATGCGGTATTTCAAAAAAAAAAAAAAAAGAAAAAAAGAAAGAAAGAAAGAAAGAAAGAAAAGAAAAGAAAAGAAAAAGAAAAAGAAAAAGAAAAAGAATCATTTCCAAACTTGATTATGACAGCAGATATATTAGAGAGTGGATAGGTGATTTGAGAATGGGGGACAATGTAATAAGAAAAAAAGAAGCATGCCATAAAGGCCTTGAAGTTTTTCAAGAAGAATGCAGAAAAGAGAGGGCAGCGATGATGAGCGTTGATATCATGCTATGACCAGATATGTAGGAGCAAACAAATGCAGAGTGAAATGAATAGAAAATATACGACGATAAGAGCCGACTCCCATATTGTGCGCAGATAGAAAACGAGATATGTCACTCCAAATATGAACAAGGTTGAACAATGTATGTTCCGTGTTCACGTTCAAAATTTCGAGAAAACAAAATTAAATAATTTAAATAAATGAATAAAAAAAAAAATGAAAAGAGAAAAAGGAAAAAGGAAAAAGGAAAATAAAATCACAGGTTCTCTGTAAACTTCGACGGATTTGTTGGCGTATTCACCGACGAGTTCTGCGAGGGTACGGTGCGAAGCGGTTCGGGGGGGACTTCCATCCCACCCGCAGTAGTTGCTGGCGCGCCTCTTTGAGCAATGCCACGTTCGCGCTGCACCTCGAAGGAGTCCTGAGTGCCGTCCGAGGCAGTTCTCCGTGATGATTTACCGAACAGGCGGAGATTCCATCTGGCCTTCATCGAAAGCCTTCTCGATAGGCCTCCACCATGATCCTGCTGCTGCTCGCGTACCGCTCGTGGGCTTTCTATAGATGAGCTCCATTGAGGCAGAGCTGGCCTCGCCTCCATATACGCAGGCCCGTTATCTGGCGCCTTTCTTCCATTCACCGATACCACCATAGGAGCTGTGGTGGCGCGGGCTGTGGCGGGTGCAGTTTTTCGTTTCGTGCTTTCCTCCGCCGGTTCAGAGCCGTTAATATTGCCTAACTCACCGGATGGTGTGGGCTCCACCTCCTTGCCGTCTCGCTTCTTCCTGGACTGTAACTTCGATTGCGAACTGGATTTTTCAGAGACGCCTGACTGTGATTTGTTGGAAGCAGTGGTTGGCTGCCGGGAGAGACTTTCGCGCGGCGGTTCTAACAATATGGATTGGGACGCTTCTCCCGCGCTATGTGTGGGAGTATGGGATATTGGAGGACTTTGTTTCTCGGGAACTTGAGCCCAGCCGTCCACTTCTACATTCTGCTGAGTTTGGTGATCAGTCGGGGCACCCGAAGCCGCGTCCTCCTCGTCTTTGGCTGGAACTTTGCAGCGGGCCTTGGATGATTTGCGTCGGAATAAGTCGACTCCTAAGGGCTTGCTGAGGCGATCTAAAATCTTTTTGGTACCTTTTGGCCTCTTGATGCTTCTCTTTTCATCTTCTGTCATGTACTGTCAGTAAGCCAATTCAGGGTAAAGCGATAGATAGGATGGATATTAAACCCCGACCTTTTGCTTCTTGTACGGACCTCCTTGCTTCTTCTTCCCGCTCTTTCTCCAATCCTTGCTGGCGAATGGCTTCCCGCTCGTCAAGCTCTTCCTCTATCACTTTGGCCTGCTGTTCCTCAAGTCTTCTCATGACGTCATCGACGGCAGGTTTGGTTTTCGATTTTGCAAGGCGGTCAACCTCCTCCTGGGCGACAAACTGTCCTGCACCGATAGGGACAGGAACTAAATCCTCATCATCAACTGTGAGGGTTTTTGCTTTGTCTACCACGCGAGATTGTGATCTTCCTGTGGACTCGTAAATTCTTCGATCAACATCGTCCAGTGTAGCGTCTGCATTCTTCCTCGCAGCTTTCATCAGGGACTCATGGTCACGCGCCCTTTTTTCAGCATATGCCTTGTCTTTTCGACTCTGCAAGGTTGTCATTCGCGGCCGGGCCTTGACGGATTGTTCATTGTCTATGTCTACCAGACCGCTGTCGCTGGCAGCGCGCTTCCTGAATCTCGAATAGAAAGAGCGCTGGCGTCTGGGTGGGATCGCTGCACTATAGTAATCTCGGAAAGCCCTGTGTTGATCATCCATCGTGGCTAATCTCTCCGACGCTAATTTTTGAGCTGTTTCATGCAACGTTAGCGGACGTGCCAACGGTTTTGGTTCCCGACGACGGCGCGAATATATGGAAGTCGCAGCAGCATCCGCCTGGGGCGCGGTTGAGAACATCTGCCGTGCCACCTCCACCGCTTGTTTGTGTAGGCTGCCGTTTCTCTCAGGTTGGAACTCACGGCGGATATTTGCCATGGCGGTTGCATGGACCTTACGGGCGTCCAACGGGGTCTCAACCTTGGAATCTCCGCGCACTGGTGCCGATCCGGAAAACATTTTGTGGGATGCTGAAGCAGCGGTCATGGCATGGGATGAGTGATTTCCGTCGCTGGACACTGCAGGAGCTGACACAGCTCTCTTGCGGCTATGGGATATCGCGTCCGTTGCCGCAAGCATCGCCCCAGCATCGCTCTTATTCTCGTGGCTTATATGCTTCTGCTCTGATGTTTTAGCATTCCTAACTGCCTGTGACCTCCCTGCTTGAGATGCAGCCTGGCAGCTCGCAGCAGTAAGCTCTGGGTTTCTCAAAGGGTGCTCGGTCTCCACTTTGTTTATTTGGTGAGTCGTGTATCCTGCATGTGCTAAGCTGGCAGCAGCACCGGCTGAGGCCAATTCTCGGTCGCCAGAGTGAAGTTTAGCTGGGTCTAGATAGCTAGGTGGGCTCATGGTTCGGTGTGAAGCTGCGAATCATAATGTGTTAAGAGAGTTCAGGTTGCTCGAACCGGGATCGTCAGTATACTCACCAGTGCGATTAATCTTGTGGCTCTTTTCGGAATTTGGCACTAGTGGTCGGGAACGAGCTACATGCATTGCCGCCGAAGACGCTTTGCAAAAGTGATGTTAGTTAGGTTGGGTGACGATAAACGCTGCAAGAAAACCAGGAAATCGGAAAGACGAACCAAGGCTCTCATCAGCATCCGGTCGATGCCGGACCTGGGGAATCATAGCGGCAGACATGGCGGTGCCCACAACTTCTTCAACGGAGTGGATGCAACACAGAGGTTGTAGTTTTGGAAGAGGGAGCCAACATGACTCCGAATCGGGTCAGATGGGATCGGAATAGATGTGATAGACGCTGAGACGGCTGGTGTATCGGCCAGCGGAGAGAGTTTTCGGTTGACCATTCTCGCATCTGAGGTCGCTGTCGCGGAGAGTTTGGAGGCAAACTTGATATAATCTCGATGTCTGGTTCGAACGCTGTCGGTGACGTAGGGCCGGCCACTGACGGGTCGCTGACTCATCCGGCCAGACCCCGTGAGAAGTTCGACTTCATTGGCCGCATTTTACACTATCCAGCATCCATCTGCTTTGCATTCCTAATATGTGAGGTCAAGTGCCCACAGCGCAGCTATTGCAGTGAGAGCAATTGTTGAGTTATGTCGAAAAAGTGGTTGAGGGATTGTCGCAATTTTCAATCTCGCATGACCACACAGCAGTGAGGATATATGGCCATTATGCTGTTCTTGGAGCAGACAGAACCGCTTTCTACCGCCACCCGATTCGCAAATTTGATTTCACGGAACAAGATGGCAAGCAGAAACGGGCGGTATACAAATTCACGAGGAGTGTCTACAACATATGGATGCCAACTCATCTAGAAAGAATCTGTTCGGCAATTGATCAGATTCCCCCTTACATAGATTTTTGACATATCACAATCTGAACTTGACTTTTGCCAACAACAATCCAACACCGAATCCGCTCGACACCTCTTTCCCCAGCTATCTAGCTCACCTTAAGAGATGGAACCAGCCAGCGGAGTTTCATGCTCTTTTCCGAGAACAGCTCTCCAGAGACCACGGCCCAGACGCGAACTGTCGCCCTCTCTATACAAGGGAAAGTTGAGGCAGCCTTTAATATCCATCTTCTGTCACAATATCTCAAAGGGCGTTGAACGCAGCAACGTAAACTCGAAAATGAAAATGACGTTTACCATAGGCTCCACAGCACCCAAGGCACTTCCGCCCGCATGCGCAGCTTCACTATTAATAGAATTTGATCCTCTGTCTGCGGAGGTCCTTGGACAGGCTAAAAATCGATGTTGAAGTTGAGGGTTAAATTGCTCCGGCCCGCTCCCGCAATGTATAGAGGCTTTGGCCCTAAAGAATAAGCACCTCTGAACAAGCTAACGCGTACACAAGAGCATACTTTCCACGCCTCCGTACCTGGTGATAAAGTAAACGCAAAATACTTCAAATCACTTTATCGCAAAACAATCCGCGAGTCCCAGATACCATGTCGGTGCAGGGATGACAGTGTTATCGATTCGCTCAGGATCGTGCACGGATCTTGCCAATCTCAAGCAACCAACAGCATAGACGATGCAGCTCAAATTACCAACAACTTCTGATCAAATATCACCCTTTTCCAAGCCAGCAGTACTCTCGAATTTTTCCCCCAACCGCTGTCCAGGAGACTCAAAGGTGTCATGAAAATGGGGGTTTGACTGGAAAGATTGTAAGGAGGAGAGGTGCAAATCATGTATAGCTTAGTCCACAAATCGCTTGTTGTTCGTGAGACTTGACTAAGGATTTAACTATAGACAGGTACATACTCCCATGGTTCCCCATTATCGGAAAGGTGTGATGCGCTTTGCGTCGGTCTGCATGCGTGTGTGGACAAACCGTCATCCTAGTAATATTTTGTATTCAGGGGGAGACCCTGTTTCTGGTCATCTGCCTGTATAATCTGTCAGTGGCAAGAAAACAAGGAGTGAACATCATGAGGCACTGACAAGTTTCACCTCAACACTCTCAACCTGCCTAGTTTCAATCTCAATCCAGCCACACTCCCTATCACCAATGTAGGAGCTATCAAGGTAAGTAATTGCAACATCAAAATCACAACTCTTTCCAGATTACCAGAAACAATCATAATGTTTTTGGAATAAAGGTCATTGTGCTCAATCAATGCTGAATGTATCTGTTGAATGCCTTTAACTGCCTTGGCCATTCACTCTTTGCTGTGGGTGACACAGTTCATTTCCAGAGGGTTTGACAGATATTCAATCAAAATTACACTTGGAAGGCCAGCATTCTGTTGAAAGACATTCAGATGAGAAGCAAGAGCAGTTGGATGCAAGGATAATATGTATCCATAAAACTGTGACACATAGCCCCCATTGCATATACCAGATTGCTTGAGGCTGTAATAAGCCTGAATTTCACAGCAAGCTCAATTCAAGTCATGGAACCCGTCATCAGCATACCCAGCATCTTCATTATTATGGAACTAGACAGGGTCAGAGCTGGTGTTTGAGATGCACTGACTATCAAGGCACATACAACTTTCAGAATGTGAGGCATGCCATCATAGTTAACATGGAATATTGATGACATCTCTGATGTTTTCAGCATTTTGATAAACTTGATCTTTGTGGGATTGATCTCAATTGTTAAACTGTCATTGAATCTGCTCACCTCATAAATGGTACCCTCTGAGCAATGAGGAAGACTGGTGTGCCCGTGCATGAGGGCGGGTAAGAAACCGAAGATAACCTAACCACTGAATTAGGGTAATGTACAACAGTCTCCCAGGTAAGTTCCCAGATGTTGCCGAAACATTTGGAGCTGTATAATGAATGACACTCAGTGAAGCGCCGTTCTTTAAACTCGTCGGAATTAGGTTGTTCCCGGCTGAGCGCCAAGATGCCACATGTCATGTGACCGTGCTGGAAATGGAAAGGATGATGTTATCTCAGCAAGCTCAGACGCTTCGCAGGATAATTGCTGTTTTTGTTGGGGGGATTGGATTGGGTGATTCGTACCCTCTATACCACCACGGCGCTGATGGTGATTGAGATCTTTTGCCCTAGTGGCCTAATAGTAGTACCCCCTAACAAATAATCATATCACATGATGTGCAATTATCCTGTAAAGCAAATCAACATCTATTCAGCAACTCTGTATCACCTTGAAATCTAGAGAAATCAATATTCTTGCAATGGTATCAATTTTTATTTTCATATTCCCATTTCTTAGATATAAAGTATCATCTCAAAGTCAATCCATTTTATTTTTAAGCACAGGAACAATTTACTATTTACTTGATTTCAATCAAAAATAAAGTGACTATTTTCAACAAAATACATCTATATTAAATATTAATTTTTTTTCATATGAAAATTATATATTTATATTCTTCTTCTCTTTAGCTACAATCTAAGATGATTCACAAATCTCAAAGATATATAACTATTGTGTAATTGAAAGTCAAAGTTGAAGAATTTGAAGAATGTATGAAAATCTCATGTTCCTTCTCAGATCCTCTGGTCAGGATTGATTTGAGCATATGACTTTACTCTCTTTGGTTTAGATATACTATCAGATGTGATTGGCTTTTGTTCATAGCTACATCAATAATCCTTCTAAAAGAAAAAAAGAAAAAGAAAAGGAGGCAAGGACTAATCTGAAGAAGGGAAACAATAGAGGGAAAGCCGGCCAAGCAGTTTCTAGCTCATCTTCTGTAGATATAGTTAAATAGTAGCTAGCTCCTGCAACAATAATAGAAGATTCACCATCCCAGCGGATTAACTTCGTACTTCGCCAGCAGCTGAACTCAACTGCGTCGCAGGGAAGGTTAAGAAGTTGCGCAGCCTTTATATAAACAACATGTGGCGTTGCCAGAAGGAAATGCTTGGAATTCATATGCATCAAAACAGCAACTTCTAAGTTACAGTGTTGGGAACTTGAAATTGTTGAGAGAATCTTTTTCAATTATTGCGCATACCAAAACAACCCGTTGATTGAACAGTCAGGGTTGGAGCGAAGCGGATGGACACCTGTAAGCGGCAGCTGCAGTAAGTATTTGACCATCTTGAAATGACGTTGCGAGTTCCTCTACTCCGTAGTTACTCATGTTTCAACCAGCCCTGCGAGATAGACGCCACCACACACATCCAATCGCAACATGTTCTTCTCAATATAACGTTGGCAATCGAACCGTAACATACTCCAATTGATGGTGTTGCTAAAGTAATTAAGTGTCTAAAAAGGGAAAAAGCCATAGGAAAGAAATGAAAAGAAAAGAGGATCCAAAGAAAAGAACATATAAGAGAGATATCCTCGGCGCAAATGAGTCCCCACGAGCCTATCCCACGGGCTTTAAACGCGAATATTGATATCGCCAGAAACAGTGATGCTGCCACCGTCAAACCCGCCGTTCGAATTCATTCCCCGGACCTCCGGTTTGAGAGTATTCTGAATTTCCGGGATGTGGGTTCATATGTCAATCAATTATGTGGAACACGGTATGGGAAAGACAGTTCCCTCTGACCCCTCACTTGTATAACTTGTACAAGAGATGTATCGATGATCCTATCTATATGGATTTATAGATATGTATATACCTCAGCCTTGAGGCATTCTAATACTTTTCTCTGTTCCTCTTTAGGGTGATGAGAGAGGGTGTTTTATTCCGAAGCGCAAGGGTAATAACGGGATAAATTCTATCCAGATCTTCCTTCTTCATCCCTTTGCTCATTCCTACGGTGCCCGTCTTCCTGATATATGTATTTATCCTGCGCTGGTTTACCGGGCATCCCTTACAATCCGGGCTTCCCAATGCTCAGAGTTTCTTTATTCCATTTCCGCTCCCCAAACCATCGCTAATTTTCCATTTCACAGCTCGACAATGCTTCAGAAGCAGACCGCCACCGTTTAGCAGAGGAGCTCCATCTAGCTTCCGTGATAGATCTCAGGTCAACGTAAGTACAGGGGGCCCGGGGGATGAAAACCGTCTACCCAGCCAAAAAAAAAAAAAAAAAAAAAAAAAAAAAAAAAGTAAACGTACGTTGATGCTAATGGAAACCTATACTTCTAGCACAGAGCATAATATTGCTGCCAACAGACACCTGGCTTCTCAGCCGAGCAGGCCGAACAGGCCGAAAGATGGGCCCACGCCAGTTGTTCAAACCCAGCCCACAGCGAACGATGAACACCTCGTCCAGCTCCCCGGCGTGCGCCGGATTATGATCAGTCTGGCGGGCTGGGGTCTGGAGAAGCTATTGCTGTGGCGCCTGAGTTGGTTCAACTTGCTGTGAGCAGGCACTTTTACTTACTTCTATATATTTATTGTATTTTATTACCCATCTACCTATCCTATTTTTTAACTTAATACACATAAAACGTCTAGAAAGGCCATCGTCCTGCTCGCGTCCGGTTACCGCAACGCCGCCACAAAGCTCGTGGTCGAGCAGGCCATGGTGCCCCGCGGCCTCAAGGGGCTGGCGCACGATACGCTCACAGCCAGCCAGGCTGAGATCAAGGAACTGTTCGAACACCTGGGCAACCCTGCGGTGTACCCGACACTCGTGCACTGCACGCAGGGCAAGGACCGGACCGGATTGGTTGTAATCCTGCTATTGTTATTGGCCGGGTCTCCTGCTGGAGAGGATGGGGGGAAGAGGGAGAGGATGGGGGATGGGGATGGCAGGAAGAGTAACAACGACGACGACAGCGACGACGACGACGACAGCGACAGTAATAATAATAACAACACTGGGGAGGGATTAGGTGGTGATGGGGGTAGATATGGACACGTCCAGGGGGACATTTCCAAGTTGGGTCCCGATGCAGACACAGCTCCAGCTCCAGCTCCAGCTGCAGATCCAGATACAGGCACAGGCACAGGCACAGGCACAAGCCCCCAAATCCCTCTCTCGGCAATAGCAAGCGACTACCGAAAGTCGGAGGGCGAGCTGCTTCCGGAGCTGCAGGAGCGGCTCGCGGAGATGCGCGCCATTGGCATGCCGGAGGAATATGCGACGTGCCCGGATGGGTTTACGGAGGACGTCGTGCGGTTCTTGGAGGAAGGGTATGGTGGGATTCGAGGATATTTGAGAGCTGTTGGGGTGGATGATGGCGTTGTGGAGAGGGTTAGGGGGTTGCTTGTGGCGTGATGGAGATGGGCGGGGCGGGTGTGTGTGTTGGGGGGGGGGGGGGTGGTGTTCTGGTTCTGATTCTGGTTCTGGTTCTGTTAGATAGATAGATAGATACTGGCGCAATTGATTTTGGGTGCCGGGAGCGACATGCTAGATAGGGTTATGTAGATTTTATTTTATGCCTCCGAAGAGAGTTTTGTAGATTGTTCATGTTCGTTTTCGTTTCTCTCTGCTCAAATCAAAGCTCTTACTTCATTGTATCTGCCATCCTCCTTTGCACTTGCCTTCCGCTCCCGCTTTTTAGGAAACAGATGCGTGGCCTAAGTGCGGAAAAGCGACATCGGAGAATAAGTAAATAACACACGAAAGGAAAAGAAGGAGAACTATTCCCGAGTACCCGAGGAGTAATATAAACATGCGCAACAATGCTTTTGCCCAGGGGCTTCATTTCAATGTCTTCCAACGAGATAGATAACCCAGTCACCGAACTTAAAGTAGAGATCGAGAAAAACGAAGGATTGTCCTACAGCTCCAGCTGCAGCAACAGCATAGCATGTTCAGGAAGAAGAAAACGCGGGGTGTGTTGGGATGCAGTCGCCCTCCCAAACGAGACCGCGGAATCTATACGCATTAATAATATAAGTTAGGGACAAGTCCTCCCGTCCCCTCCCCTCTCTTATAAGACCTCTCTCTATTAAAACAAAAGGTGAAAGAAAAGATATCGCAAATACGCCTAGAACAACGCCCCCTGTACTGTGTACCGCCCAATCGCCCCAAATCCTGGTCATTTCCTATTTAAAAAAAAAAAAAAAAAAAAAGGGGGGGGGGGGGGGGGGAATGGAAAAGGAAAAGGAAAGTCATATCACGTCACGACACGTCATGCCTAGACATCTAAACTCTCCTCTGGAGCATGCAAGTGATCCATTGGAGGCTGTTGTATGGCGTCCGACGATTGGTTGTGAGCGGGCTTTTCGATATTTGCCTGATCGCCCACGGAGTCTGTGGCAAGGATTTGTTGCTCGAAATGAGCATTTGTTTGCGAGGGTGTAAGAGTAGGTGTAGAAATGTGAGAAATAGCCGTTGTCCGCTGGGCTCCGTTAAGCGCCTGGCCATTTCTGTTATCCGTTTACCTTGTGGGATGTGGGGGCGGGTTCTCACGGCGGGGAGGAGGTCAACTCCATAGGATACCATGTAGAAGGGGAATATGTAGGCGATTACTGGTTGGGAGAGTAGTGATGTTGGTTAGCTTCCATAACTTTTGTTGGGTATATAACTGACAAGGGGAAGGGGGGAATTGCCATACTCCACTTTAAGATTGCAGCTTGGTCTTCTTTCGTTCGTTTACGCAGAACTACCAACCCAATCGAAAGCCCCATCTCAACAACGATGAAGGCGAGTTTGATCCAAAAGCTCACGAATATAATTTTGTGTTGCTGATAATGTATCCCGAGTCGGTAGTATTCTGCCCATACGAAGATCGTGCTGAGAACGTACGATCCTTTATTTTCTCGGCGTGGTTTATTTAGATCATATCCAATGTAATATTTTTTTGCGTTTCCCAAAAAAAAAAAAAAAAAAAAAAAAAAAAAAAAAAAAAAAGAAGAAGAAGGGGGGTTAATAAACTTTGGAGGGGTAAAGAAGGAGGCCTTACATGAAAGCCATGAGTAATATTTGGTGAATCCTAGCGTACCGCAGGGTGTCAAAAATCGACAGGAGAATCAGTGCCGCTCCCCCGATCAGCGAAAGGAATATAGCGATGATGGCGAACGCCTTGTCTCTCTTCCCTCTATTTCTAGCAAGGTGGCCGCTGTGTCTAAGCCATCTCTCGGACACAAATGAAGCGCTGAGAAGCACAGCAGTGATCACGCAACCGGCGACGAAGAGAGGTTTTAAGCGCTGGGCGCCAATGTCTGATATGAATGCGATCCTTTGATATGGCTCCATACTCTCGTAACGTGGGGATCCGTCAACCACGGTCCATATGATCAGGAGAGTGAGAATCGTAGCTGTTTTGCTCCACGGGTTATCAGATATGATTGATTAGCGCCATGTTGGTACCTGCAGGAGCACTAGCGTGCATGTTTTATGTTTCGCCTTTACGATATAATCCACATTTGGAACAGATCGTGTTTTTAATAACCCCCACCGCAATCGTGAAGACGGGTATATAAAAGGTATACTAATAACGAGGGGAGATGGGAGACGTTCGGATAGACAAATCCAGACCCAGCGAGACCAATGTGATGATGGCCCCTCTAATTGGGGAGAAAATGTGGCAGCGATTGGAAAGAGGAGATAGCCTGGGAACAGACATCAAACATCGCGCCGGGCTTCTAACGAGTGTCATAAATATTAGCTACTGGGCAGGAAGGAATAGAACTAGCGGGGTAGCTGAGCCATGGATACGGTAGAAAGGGTAGACAGTACTCCGTACTGGAATCACCAGCCTGAAAATAAAAACTCGCCTCATTCCCAGACAGTGGCGAGCAGGGTTCTTGATCAAGGCTCAAGGCCCACAGATTATCAATCAGGTAGCTCATAGCTAGCTTGTCGGCCCGGTTGTCACTTCCACAGCAGGGACAACCAGCAGCCGTTGTTGGCCGAGGTTTGCAATGAAGGATCACTGCGCGCGGGAGGCGGGAGGCGGGAGACGGGAGATGTCAAGCGATATGGTAGTAGCTAATAGGGGACAATTTCATCGCACAATTGACAATATCTCCAAATCAAGCAACGGGGGAACCTCAGACCCGGGCCATCTGTTTGCACCGACCCAGAGTATCGCGCGCTCCCGAACCATCTTCCAACACCAGGGGCGGTACACTTGAATGCGGTCCCAAAAAAGCTGAGTGCGGTTCAAAAGGTTTGGTTCTGGCTGAGGAGACTGTTGATGAGATCCAAACTCTCGAATCCTCAAACAACGCTGATTGAGATAACTAAGCCCCATGACATCATTATTAGTCATCGCCCCCTGGGCTGTGGCTGGATGACCGGTATCGTATAAGGCCTTGTGACCTGGCATCCCCGGTTTTTGCTATTTTGGTAATATATTTCCTCTAGGAGAATTAGTAACTATCAGATGATGTTAGCTGATAGTTATTGATATCGTGATATAGCTAAATCATTGAGAGCCTGGGTTAGTAGTTGAATAGAATAAAAACTGATTCAGAATATATTCATCTATGTATGTATGTAGGTATTTATAGATTTACAGTACTCCGTTACAATCAATATACACTGGTTCCAAAGCAATTTAACACATCCATGGATAGCCCCGTAGTTAGTGGTAATTAAAGCGCCACATGATATTTAAATTAGACTCATTTACCTCAACTTAGTAATCCATGAATATATCCATGTGTAGGATGTTTTCTTCAAAACAATAAATCTTTATTCTTTTCTTATTGTTTCCTTATAGTGTTGTCATCTTACTAGTTATGTTTCTTCATCGTCATCATCCACTATGGCCCAAGACAGAGAATTAAGCCCTCGAATGTGATATCTTCACAGCATGGAATTAATTAATAGCTTAGATACAGCAATAAACTGTGTAAACACTAAACTACTTTGGAAAGTAGTGAACATTATGTTGATTAGGCTTCTTCTTGCGTAGCACTGTGACGTCCCCGGGGCCATCCCGGAGGGACGTGCTAAGCTAGAGAGATTTCTATATACACAGTGGGAAAGAAACAGGATCCAGATGGCAACTCTTAAGAAGTCTCAGCTCACAGAGCTGCGCATCCACTTCTGGCCCTGACGTATGGCCATTCATGGTGGGGCTATAGTGTGGCCTTTTAGACGCCGCCGCTGCCGTGCCTGGAAGGCTTAATATATTCATCCAGAATAGAGGTGAGGAACATAAAGTCCTTGGAGACTCCAGAAATCTATATGGAAAATCTCAATGCTGGAGCTCAAGGTGAAGCCAGTCCACAAAGCATAGGTTATATAGGTATATATAGGCTATATAGGCTATACATCATCGCCATCATCCATGCGCACCCAGCACTTGTATGACCCACCTCATCTCGAGGTCATATAGGAGTCTATACCCACCCACAGCTCCCCGCCACCCCAACTTCCCAAACACCCTCCCCAAGTCCGACACCTGCTTCTCCCCCTCCCCAAACGAAAGGTGCATACTCAGCTCCCACGCACAGCGCAGGCTCTCTAGCGGCGCAAGGCGCAAGGACCCTTGCCATATCTTCCCGCCCGTACCAATGCACGGGGGGCATGAGGATCACGAATCGTCGAAGTCCACTCAGCCCCCTGGCCATGTCGCAGAGGACGGAGAGCTGGATGAGGAAGTCCTCCTCATCGCCCAGGAAGAAGTCGCCCGCCAAATTCCAGTATATTTTCACGGAGCGGATGTGCTGGTGGTGCTGGTGGCAGTGGGGGCCTGCGCGGATGGCGGAGTTGAAGTGCAGGAAGTTGGTGGCGTTGGCGAAGATGAAGGTGCCTGATGAATATATGTGGGGGCTTGTTTCGGCGTAGCTAGGTAGATTTGCATTATTATTGTTATTGTTATTATTGTTATCACATGGTTAGAGTTGGAACGGGGGATAGAAGACAACGGGCACTGCTGGATGGAACTTTGAGAAGTTAAAAAAAAACCCAGGCACGGCGAACAAAAAAAAAAAAAAAAAAAAAAAAAAAAAAAAAAAATTAAGCGAGTTGTATTGTGAACGGGAAATATTCCACAGAGAGAGATATATATATATATAGATATATTATAGACACTCACGCAAACAAACACGTCCTCCCCACCGCCACCAAGTCGCCAAACGGCCTTTTCAGCCCACAGAACCGGCCATACTCCAGCCCCCACCCCATCTCCTTCCGCCTGGCGGCATTGACGCAAAACTTACAGCAATTCCAGCCAAGCAAAGTTGGCCTGACGCCCTCGCGACACACGACGTATTGCAGATCTGTCGCCTTGTCCTTGCAGCGCACGATGTGCACGCTCTTGGGGACGTGGTGGAGAAGCGAGGTCCAGATCATCCGGCGGATCTCGAAGGGGAGGCGGCCCAGGAGCGGCGATTGGGGCTGCGGAAAGTACTGTGGCTTTGTGAGCGAGGGCTCAAGTTGCTTCAACATCATCGTCGTCGACTCCATCGATTGAAGGGGGGGTTAGCTAGCCAACTAAGTCGATGTCTTAAATTAGTCCTTGCCTCTTCCCTTTCTATAAGCCCCTACACTCTTATTGTCTTGATGTCATGTTTATTTTCTTTTCTTTTACAAGAGCGGGGGGGGGGGGGGGGGGGGGGAGGGCCATCCCACCGCATATCCAACTCAAATTCGGGAAATGCATCGATAAGTTGCGCAGACATACGTGCATACATACATACGCCAGCATCCGCCCCTCTGCTCTGCATCCTGCCATTTCATCATTGCACGTAAAAATAGCAAACCGCCCCAGGTCGGGCCGATATTTACACAGGAGGAATCTTACAACACCCCCCTCCCCCCCCTCCTCAGGCAGATAGGCAGCCTGCTGCAACCTTGTAAACTGACTGGCCTGTGCAGCGGCTTTTCAACTCAAGCTTTCCACAGCGTTGAGCAACTGGGAAACTCAACTGGAATGGCATGCAAGGGCAATGCGCGCAGGACGACTCTTTGGTTTGGTGCAAAGTAGCAGTTAGATGCTGTCTGAGGGGTGGACGAGGAGCATGCCGTGTTGTTGTTGTTGATTGGTGTGATGAGAATGGGGAGAGGTAGTGTATGTGGTTAAACTTAACCCGCGGAAGAAGTGCGATGGCCAGGCTAATAGGTAAGTACCGGAACGGATATAGGAGGTTGTTATACATAGGTACCATTTAATATAGTACAATAAAGAAAAAGATCGAATGGCAAAGATGGGCAGGATATGGGGGAAAAATTATCGAAAAATGTAGTTATATATATCTATAAAATACAGATCAACGCATAGTCGCTCACCCATCGAAAGGGTTGAAAAT